ACAGCGCCAAGCAATGCCAAGCAACGGTTCCTAGCAACGCGAAACAATGCTAAGCGATGCAATGCAACACTAGGCAGTGCAATACAATGAGCCCAAGCAGTGCCAAGCAACCCGAAGCAATGCAAAGCAACGCAGTGCAATGCCAAGTAATGCATTGTATCGGGTTGCTTTTGCATTGTTCCGAACTGCTTTGAGTTGCTTCGGAAGGGCGAAGATCTGACATCGGGGTGGCGCCGGCCTTTCCCGGCAGCCGACGTGGAGGATGAGGAGTTGGACGACGAGGAGGTGGGTGAGAGGAGAGGCGACACGATAACGAGGATGAGTAAGGGCTTTGAGTGTCGGGTGGGCGGAGTGTGCAAAAGGATGACGATGCGCAGAACCGTCAAAGTTGTAGGAAGCCAGGCAGGTACTACTTCCACAATGGTTCCACAATGCCACGTCAAGGAGAGGTCGTGCAAATGGGGAACAGCAGAGGAGAGGTATGGCGAACAGAGGAAAAGGAGGATGCGGGGTGGGAGCAGGATAAGGGTCTTAGGGAGGGCAGGTGGAGGCGAATTGGGAGGAGGAAGAGGGGGAGGTAGAGGACGACCTGGCCCCTCTTGCTTACGACCTTTTAGGTTGCCACCACGCGGTGCCACAACATACTTCAGTATGATGTTCGTCGTTGTGGGGAGGTGGAAGAGACGAGTGGATTATGAGGCGGGGGAGGGCTCTAAGACTCGAGGCGTGGCGAAGCCCATGCGTTGGGGGCCAAGGCCCAGGAGCGATGCAGAGGGGGACACCGAGGAGGAAAATCTGGATCTGGATCTGGATCGAAGGCTCATAGCCAGCCTAGACGAGAATGGCACAGACAGAACCAAGCACTGTGCACGATCAGCATCGCACAACAAAAATAGAGGCAGGGCATCCCATCACCCTGCCGCTGAAAAGACAGTCCTCCTGCTGGTGCAGCCATCCGCAGTCCTCGCCGAGACCACGCTTGCAAGGCGAATGAGAGAAGGGCTGAGGTGCTTGACTTACGGTCAGGAACTTCGACTCAGCGAGTCGCTCCGCTGTCTCTGGCCCACCACGCTTCGGCGCGACGCGCCATCCACTTCCCGGCCCCCCAGCGTCAACGTCTCGAGCCTCTCCCGGCCTCCCGTCCCACAGAGCGGAGCGACACGCTATCCGATTGCAAGGCACAGCGTGTAGCCAGGGCTGTCGCCGCGACACGCGAAACAACTGTTCCTGACCGTAGTGCTGCAATGGGAAGCACTGGAGCGCAACCGCCATCGGGAGGACCAGGCTGCGCGATAACGACGTCAAGGACCCGCACTGCGGCTCTCCCTGCTTGTGTGTTCCGCTCTGACCCGCAGGGCCGCACCTCCTAGTGATGCTGGTCCCGTCGCCCTTGCCCCATCCGCCCGCCATGCTCAGCCTTGGCAGCGCGCTGTGAAGCCACAGCTGCGGAGCTCGACGTTTCTCCCTGCTCCGTCCATGGTGCAATCCTCGTGCTCCGTTCTGTCTCCCCCCATCCGACCGGTGGCTCTCCTGGTCGCGCAGCCATGCCGGCTCAGGCCCGCAGCACCTCCCGTCCCAGGCCCCCCGCGTCATGACCTATCTTCGGCGTGGATCTCCCGAGGTTTGGACCCCTTCCCCCCGGGCACCGTCATGGGGCCTGGGGAGGGCCCCCGGAGGCCGAACATTGAGAAAAATACGCCGTGGTTTCTATCCATGTCCCGAGGGCGCCTGGGCGGCCCCAGGAGGTCCCGACCCCCTCCCCGGCCCAGTCCTTCGCCCCAGATCCGTTCCTGGGCCCAGCAGCGGGCCTCGGAGTCCCAGATCGAGGCAAGCCTGCCGGCTGAACAAGGGTCACTTGACATCGCTCGGACGTGTGCCCGTTCTCTCGGTCGGGACCATCGAGGAGGATTTCGGCTCCTCTTCTGGGGGAAAAACACGCGCACGACATCGAAACCTGCATGTGGGATGGACGTTCGAGCGATGACACTGTCATATCGCCGTAAAATCTGGCACGGCGCCTCCCTGCGGGGGGCGGACAAGAGCGGGGGGGATGACCAGGGGACGGGGGGGGGGCCATAGCCAGGGCCATCTTATCTCCCCAGATGTCATGGCGCCTCGCCTTTGATTTCCCATACGTGGGCCGCTCATTTGCCACCAGCCCTAAGTCGGGCATGTCCCTCTGAAGGAGGAATATTCAACGATCGTGAAAAGATAGTCAGGGGACGATTTCTGTTGTATTGTCAACTTTGTTTGCATATCTTCTGGCTCTTTGTCACCTTTCGGTTAAAATCCGCCTGTAGCAGGACACGCCCGACCTCACACCAGCCATGATCTGCGCGCCACACCCCCCCTCTGGCACGCCCCCCTCCCCAGACATCTGGCTGCTCCCATTTTTTCGATGCGCGGGCCCCCGAGGTCCGGACCGCTTCCCGAGGGCCGCTGTTTCGTCCCGCGTCGTTCCTGCACGGCCCCGAGGCCGGGCCCGAGGGCCCCCGGAGGCCGAGCGCGGCCCAAGAGACAGCCCGCCTCCGACTGTCTTGGAGCGTCGGGTCTCTCTGAATCTGGCACGCCCCCCCCTCCTCACTACCTGCCAAGCCACCCCAACCCACCCCCAAGGCCTCAAGTTGCCTTGCATTTCCAGTGGGGGGGGGGTCGGGGAACATCGAAAAAGCACACACGGACCCCGCCCCCCCCCCCCCAACCCGAAGCTCGGGTCCTCGGGTTGGGTTGAGGTGGTCAGGCAGGCAGCCACCCCCCGGGCTCCCCCGATCCCTCCGCGAGAGCCGCTGGCCCCATGGCGCATCTGCCCGCACCGGCCGCCGGCACGCCGCCCGCACCGGGGCCGCCGCCGTGGGGCGCCGTCGCCGCACCCGTCGCCGGCCGCGTCGCGGCGGCGGGGAGGGCCGGCGGCCTCCCGCGGGCGCGCCGCTGCAGCCAGTCGGGCCGGGCGAAAGGGGGGGATTGGGAAAGGGGGGGTTACGAAATTTGCTGCATGCAGCTGGTTGCGGCCTCACCGAGGGGCCCATTCCTCGATACATAGCCGCCTCCGGCGCCGGGAGGCGCCGGGAAGATCAGCTACGCGAGCTGATTCTCAACCCCCCCCTTTACTATCCCACCCTTTCGCCCGACCCGAGCCAGGAGGGTCGGCGTGACGAGGCGCTGGGCCTCAAGCAGTGGCGAAGCGTCCTGGCTCGACCATATGGGCCCGTCCATGGATGTTCTACGAACTTTTTGTGGTTTGCACGAAATGTGATTTGAACATTTCTGACTGAATCTGTGTTGTTTGAACATGTCGGATTTGTGTTCTAAGAAACTCGTTTTTGTTATTAGAACGTTGTATTGTTGGGTTCTAAGAACATGTCGTGGTAGGCCCATAGGAATGCCAGGACGGTCGGTCCCTGCTCAAGGGCCATGTCTCGTTTCTGGGGGGTGGCAAGGAGCGGGGTGATGACCAGGGCGGGGGGGGGATATCCTGGCGGGGGCCACGAGATCTCCCCAGATTTCGTGGCGCCTCTTCTTGTTTCTCCCCCTGGGCCGCGCACATGCCCCCTCTCCCCCTGGGCCGCGCACATGCCGCCGGCCATGATGTGCGCCCCCCCCTCTTGGACACCCCCCTTTTGGCCGCCCCCGAGTTTCGATTCCTCCGATTCGATTCGACTTCGATGGCCTCTGCTGGCGATTCGATTCGCCTTCGGATGCCGATTCGGGCTCCGTTCCTCCATGGAGGACCAGTTGCCAGCCTGCCGAGTTCTGCAGATGCGGCTTCTCCCGGCTCTGCTGCCGTTTCTCGCCGATGTGATTAATCTCGATCGTCGATCCGACTTGTCGATCCGACTCTGGGGGCGCCTGTGAGGCGCTGGGCGAGACGCTGGCGGAAGCGCGGAAGCGACAGGCCTGGGGAAGGGCGATCGAAAAAAGTCTGGGAAATCATCATAACCAGATCAGCACGTCGAAGCAGGTACCAGATCAGGGCACAGGTCAAGTCACGACCACAGCGTCGTTGCCGTGCCCTCATTGCTCACGTGCCTGCTGGACACACGGCGTCTCCGTCTTTTGTTTTTCGTATCTTTTTTGCTTCTTCACAGAGCGGGAGTCACGGCGGGCCCCCAGAGGGAAACGCACGCAGATGGTGCAATCGGTGGGTGACAGGGGTACGGCTTCGACGAGGGTCGTACCACTCGCTGCAATTGTTCGCAGGGCCATCTGTGCGTCCCTTGGAGGGGCAGGCGGTTTTCGGAGCCAGCATTGGGCCTTGGGATGTCCATGAGTCACTAAGTACGTGAGTGTTGTGCCGAATCGAAGCTCCCCTGAACCGTCTGAAGGGGTCAGCTGAGTGTCCCTGGGAGTCCAGAGGCACGAAGTGCGTGAGGAGTGTGCCGAATTGAGGCTCGCTTTAGCCGTCGTGATCGCCCCTGGAGGTCCCCGGGGCACGACATTCGGAAGCGGTGTGCCAATTGAGGCACCAAGAAGCAGTCTTTGGGGCCAGCCGAGCTCCCATGATGCAAGAAGTGGTGAGGGGTGTGCCGAATTGAGGCTCGTAGGAGATTTGTTCTGCGAGTCCTTCGTATTTCACGTGAATCAGAAGCCTTGAGGGGTGCTCAGAGACGATGCTTTCGCAGCCCTGAGGGCGCATCTCACTTGTGCTTTTGTTCGTGTCCCAGGTGCTGTCACGCGCGTGGGCCTAGCAGTGCCTCCAAAGGCGATGTCTTCATAGATGAAGAGGGCGGGATGTGAGGGGTCGAGGTGCCCTGATGAATGACACGCGAGCAATAAAGAAATTACGGTTTTAGCTTGATTGTTTTTTTCAGATCGTGTGTTGCAGGATGTAGGCCATCAGAGATGATCAACCTCAATAGTTTCGGCTTTTGTTGGCCGTCATTGGCTACTGACAGGTGAGCCAGTTACGGGAGCGCCTGGCGCGATTGAAGCCCCCTGTCGACGGGCACGACGTGCAGAATGTGCCCTCGAAGTTGCTCGAGAAGGCCAGGGACCTAGACCTGATGCTGTCGGGCGACTGGGAGGTGAGCAGGAATATGGAACACATCGCCCCGCCACCCGCATCCCAGGGGGAGGGGGAGGGACCCTGGCGGCTTCTCTGCTTGCCCCCCACTTACGGTAATGATCCCTCTCCTGCCTTGACATATCCTGCTCGTGCTCATGCTCCCTCCCCATTCCCTATGCTTTCTTCTCCACTCGTTCTCCCCATTCCTCTTTCTCCTGATCCTTATCCCGTCCTGTTTCTACTCCTGCTTGCTCGCTTCTCCCTCTAGCTCACTCTTTCTTCCGCTCCTCCCTCCTCCACCCTCCCTCGTCTTCCCCCTTTCCCTGCCCCTCGTCCCGATCAGCCTGCTCACCCCCCCCCAGCAGTGTTGCCCGGGCTCCTGGTCCCGATCCTGACCCGCCCCCCCCAGGCCAAGAGGTCCTGAAAAGGAGGCCAGGCTGAGTTCACAGTCGCGCCGAGCCCCTCCAAACCCTGCGACGGTCCCGGTCCCGATCCGGACCCTGGCCCCGCCCTCCTGCCCTCTCCTCTCTCGCCTCGTGGCCCTGGCCGCTTGCTGCTGACGCTACTGGCTCAGCTCCTGCTGCTCCTGCTGGCGCTCCCCGCTCGGTGCTGCTCGTCTCGCGCAACGGCGGAGGCGGGGCGGCTCGTTCCTCCCGACGCTCGGGTAGAACCCGATCCCCCTTCCCTGGCCGCACGCGCTCCTGCCCATGTTGCCCCCCTCCGCCCCGCGGCCCTCCTCGGGCCCGCCGCGGCCGCCGGGGTCGGCTTCGTCGGAGGCGCTTCCGGCGCTTCCAGGTCTGCCCACCCCGCTCCATCCCTCCTCCATTCCTCCCTCCCTCTCCTTGCTCGTAGTGGCGGAGGTCATCCTCACCTCCGCTTCCTCGGCCCTCTTCACCCTCTTCTCTTCCGTCCCGCTTCCTTTGTATCTTCTCCCTTATCATTATGATCAACTGAACTGATAAGCCACGATGCTATCTTTGGCAGGCAATCTATTGATTTTACGATCGCGGGACCTATCGAACAAGTTCAAAGGAGCCAGCACGATCGTTGCCAAATATATAGTAACATTTGGTATCGTTGCCAGACATGTTAGCAAATGTATAGACACATTTCGCATCGTTGCCAAACGCGTCAGCAAAAGAAGAGGGGGAACCATTGAGGAATATTCAGCCTCTTGGGTCTCTTGGGGGACTCTTGAACACCTTGGAGTGGAAGGCTCGAATTTTCGGTTCAGGCTCCCCCTGTTGGGGCTTCTTTTGGGGCGGTCTTGGGCGAATCTTGGGCTGTCTTGGGCGAATCTTGGGCCGGCTTGGGGCTTTCCTGGGCCGTCTCGGGACCGTCTTGGGAGCTTCTCGGGCAGGCTTCGAGTCTGGGGGCGGTCTCGGGAGTCTGTTGGGCAGCTCTTAAATGCTGTGAGACCCGAAAAGTCGGCGGCCCCTCTTCCATCTCCGCAGCCTCGAGCATCACCCGCTTTCGGCCAACCTCGGGCGGCGCTGGCTTGGACGGTCGTTGGAGGCAAGGGGAAGGCGGATGCCGTCGCAGAGCCTGAGGAGGGGCGGTGCCCCAGCCGCCGGTGGAGCCTGCTCGAGACAGATTTTCTGGGGCCAGGGGATCGGCGAGGCGAAGCCAATCGACAACTGAGTCGCCAATCCTCCGGCTCCTCGCCGACGGGTTGGCGACTCATGCGTCGATGGGTTTCGCAGAGTCACCCAGTCGCGTGCAACAGGTTGCGCAACGCGTCGACACCTCAATCGACTGGTTGCGCAACGGGTCGACATTTCAATCCACAGCTTTGCGATTGATCCAATCGCGGTCGACAGGTTGTGCGACAGGGTTCACGCGCTTCCAGGGAGCGCAGCTTGGAGCGGGAGCATTCTGGGGAGCGTGACCGAGCAATTCCGGGGAGAGTGACGGTTCGGCGCTGAGAGTTGAGTGGCAATGCCATGGCATAGTGGCACAGAATCAGATAGTCGACCTTCGGCATTGTTTTGATGGCTATTCCTCTTCCTCCGCCCTCCTCCTCCTGCTTCCGAGGGGGCGACATTTCGGCTTTCACGGCACCTGAGAAGGAGGGCTGAGAGGTGAGAGGAGGTGGGGAGGACAAGGGCGAGGAAAACGAGGGCGAACACGAGAGCGAGGGCAGCGAGGATGAGGATGAGGAAGACAACGGGCAGAACCAGGAGGAGGAGGATATGAATGATGAGCGTGGATTCTGCAATCCAAGATTCGATTAATTCCAAAGGCGCATGCGTGAGGCGATAAGATTCACCAACAAAAATTGCACCCTGAAGCGAGCGACCAGGTTCGAAAGACAGCATGTCTTGATCGATAGGCAATCCGAATCCTTGGGTGTGCATTCTACATTGCGCCCTGGCCAAATTAATCAGCGTGTGTTGATCGATAGGCGATCAGGAGCAATGGGCGTGCGTCCTGTTTTGTGCCCTAACCAAACCAATATGATTTTCAACATAATATTCACACTGAGAAACCCGAGTTGATAGCAGACGCAAATCTCAACCTTGTCATAACTCGCACGGTGCATTCTGGTGGCATTGACCATGTGCCGGCGTCGCTGGCGTGCTACGCCTCCCTCGTTCGGACCGCGGTGAAGATGAGCGATTGGGCCACGTTGCCCGTTCAACACAAAATGCGCTCATGGCGATCTCTACGGCCATCGTCCTCTGGCCTCGAGGGCCTTGCTGGTGCCGTGGGTTTCGCAGTGGACTCTGCTGTCGTCGTGTGGGCCCGAGGCCGCTGCTTTTCCTGCTGCTTCTCCTGCTTGCTACTCGTCTTGCAGCTTGGCCAAAAGAGCGGGAACCAACACGCGATCGTTTTCTTATTCATTGTTTTGCCGATCGGCGCGGGCTCTCGCACCCCTCCCCTTGGAGTAGAGCTAGGCTGTTTTTGGAGCCTGTTTCGAGCAGGCGGAGCCTCTCCCCTCCACAGGGCGCGCTGTTGCAAACAGTCGCGCTAAGCAGAGGTACGGAGCCAGACCCCCCCCTCCCCCCACCTCGAAACGCCGAATCAGAAAACGCTCCTCACATAGACGTGTACTTCTTCTTGATTCATTGATTTTTTTTGGGGGGGGCAGGCTGGGCTGGCGCCCGCCCCTAGGAGAAGCAGGCGATGCTGCGCACGGTGAACGCCGCACCCTTCGACGAG